AAACACTTTTATGGACTAAATTTTTCCAACATCAAGTAATAATATCTCAGTAAGCCCAAAAGATATAATATCTATTTTTTCAATTCAATTAATACAATATAAAACTAACAATACAATTTGTGTTACAAAAGACCGAGTTCCTCATCTTAGAGTAACAAAGTATGGTGAAGTTTTAACAAATAAAAATGTGTTAAAATAATTGGAGGAAGCAACCTCAAAGAAAAAGCTAATCAAATATCCTAGTAAACTTGGGAGACCTAAGAAAGCTATTAAAGATGTACAAAATATTGTGTTGGAACAATCAATTGATAATATTGATGATGTAGTTTATCATTCATCAGAAGATGATTGTAATGACAATTCATTAGATTTAAGTATTGAAGAAGTTTTATACAATACACCAATTTGGTCTCAAATAAAACCTGGAGTATTTCTTTTAATAGATTTTATTGGAGGGAACCGTAAGAAACAACATTTTAAGTATGTATGTTTAGTTAAACGTGTAGATGAAGATGATGGGGATATTTTAGTCCGAGGATTAAAAAAAAATAATGAAATTGGAACTGATTTTTATATTGTTGAAAATGACTTGTCAGATATTACAGTAGAGATGATTCTTGCAATATTACCAATACCAACTGAACATAAGAAGAACAGAAAAACGATATACACATTTCCTGGATACATAAATGTTGATGAAAATTAATCAGTTTAGGCACTATGTTACCTACTTATTCATACATTAATTTATGTGGTATATTTTAAAACTAAAAATGCTGTTAGTTTGTTATTTTGTTTATAATTTTTACTTTACATTGTTATTTTTTATGTTAAATTATTATTATCACTATTATATGAAAACAAAAGACTGTTAATATATTTTGAAAGTTTATGAAATAGTAAGTAAGCATTAAACTGTACTAAATTATGTTAAAATAATAAAGATAACCTAATTATTTAACTAATTTAATTGTAATTTATGTAATTCAAACAAATTTTCATTTGCCCCAGGCTTATAACATTATCAACTATACTTTAATTTTCATTTACCCCATACACAATATACTATTTGGGACAAATGGAAATTTGTAGGTATCGAATACATGAAGTAATATAATGATAGCTGTAAAAGAACAATTTCATTTGCCCATTATGTTTGTTCAATATAACACTTGCTGTTGGAAATAGTTATTTTCATTTACCCCAGAAGTATGGGGCAAATGTAAATTTTTTATGCAATTTTATATTATTTTTTTCTCTTAAAATAATCAACTATTTTAACGTTTGATTGAAATGTTAGACACATATTGAATATAGTTTAATAGTTTTTATCTAAACCAAAATTAAAAAAAATTATTACTACACGAATCTAATAAAAGTTGTAAAACATGTAAATTTCATTTCCATTTACCCCACTTGACCCTATTCAAAATAAAATTTAATAATAATTTAAAAACAATTTTTTGTTTTGTTTTTAATAATTTTTTTATCGTAATAAATCATTTCAAAAGAAATATTTTTCATTTCTATGTAATTTTTGGTGTTTAAATAGATGATACAATTGAAATATTTAGAACTATTTTCCTTATAGTTATAACTAATATTTTTTAGCTAATTAGTAATAATATCAAAAATTATTAGTGATAGAAAAAATATAATTGCTAAATGAAAAATTGAATAATAAAAGTAATATTTTTGACTCTCAATAAAATTTGTTGTAAACTATTTATTCATAATTAATAACAAATTATTTTCTAAAAAGTTTTGTGATAAACCCTTCAATTTTTATACACGTTTACCATAAAAGTAATAAATACGTTATAATTTTTTTTATAAATTCCCCGAAAAAATTACAATACTAAAATATTAAACATCAATCTGTTTAATTTAATTGCTATAATAAATATTTAATTCTAAATAAAATAACTACCAAACGGGAATAATAAAGAAATAGGAATTCATTTTGCTTTTTCTAAGAAATTTGAAGATTATTTAATTATGTTCTACACCCAAAGAAAAACCTCGATATATATAATAAATTCATTGTTCAATTTGATAAATATATCATTACTATTGAATCAATGATATATTTATCAATATGATATTTTTTTTTCTTGTCTTGAACAATAATTATTTATAAGAATAGTTATTTTGTTCGTATTAATAAAACATTATCATAAACCCTTGATAAAATTTCTCTTTCAATTTTGATTGAGGTTTTTCTTTGGGTGTACACTGAAATACTACAATTTACATATTCTGATTATAATAATTGACCAAATTTTGAAAATTTAATTAAATTACAATATTTAATGAGTATTTTGGGAATAATTATAAAAAATTCATTGCGTGTATAGTCGTCCCAAAACTAAAAATATGGGGGGAGGTGAAAAAATTCATTTTTGTCAATTGATTAGTTTTTTTTAATAATTATTTTTTGGCAGTATTCTCTTACATTAAAAAATTGCCGATTAAAATAATCAAATTTTGCTAAGGGAGGGGTTTTATCACTCATATTAATTTTAAAAAATGTCATTAGTAATATTAATCAATTGAATTAATTAATATTAATATTTTGAGACGTATACCATTAGCGAGGCGATGCAATCGTGTGCGTGCGGATACGGTGCAGCTGCAATTTTATGTACGTGTTTTGGACGACCGGCAGCGTTGTCCATACGGTAAAATATTTGTATATTACTATTAACGGTAATTTATTTTTAGAATTAACTGCTTGTCGTTATCGGTTGTTATAATAGTATAATCGCTCTTATTATTATTTTCATTCCTATTTTCTACTGCGACCTTTAAAATAATAATATTTGTATTGCGTTTTATTGTATTATATTTAATTTGACAATTTTTTATTCATATGACTAGCGGTATTATATTTAAAGTCGCACCCCCCTCACCAGCACCGACGAGCCGGTGCTGTGTCACTTACGATAATTATTCAAAGGACAGGCGCTAACACAACGCACTGCAATATACTACGTATGTGAAAAGACAATAATAAAAATCTGTGGACAGATATGGAACAGAAATAAAATACAGTAAGTATAACTAGACGTATAGTAGAACATCACAGCGGAAGGATATTAGCAGAGGATAAGTGTGCGCCTTCGGTAATCAAATTCCGGTATGTGCTATTATCGTTAATTGTGAAATATAATGTGGTGGTGGGGAAATGACAAGACCACACATATAACTCCAAATAGAAATTTAGAGAAGCTCAGACGCCAATGCGAACACCGGAATGGCAATGGCGTATACGACAGTTGTAGATAAAATGTATAGGTATCTTTTAACAACCATTTACCATTTTAACAACTAGTCATTCAATATAAAATGATAATTAAAAAAAAAAAATTTCTGGAATTTTTTAGTTACATGTCTACTAATAAATTACAACTACATGCTAACATTTATTCATTATTAAGTAAGTTTTGGGTCCATCCCTTATGCCTAAGGGTATCAACTTTTTTTTAATTTTTTTTTAATATATCGATAGTTTATTCTTTGTTTAAATTAATAGCGTTTAAATTTGTTATTTAAATTTATTCATTTGCTTGTTATATTACCTTAAAATTTTTCGAGATTATACAGGGTGATTTTTTTATCATAACCCACTCAATTACTCGCAGAATAATAATAATTTAAACCTTTTTTTGTTTTATTAACTTTAGTTACACATTATTCTTGAATTTTTAACTATGTAATACTTTTTAAGTTCATCCCTTATGCCTTAGAGGGGGGTCAACTTTGTTTTTTTAAATGGTAACACATATTTTTAATTTAATAAAATGTTTGAGTTTTTAATTTAATAGTAAATGGCATTTGAATTTTTAATATAACTTTATTAGCTTATTAGATATAAACATTTAAAGTTTCAAAATTTTGAGTTAATATACATGTATAATACACATGGGATTGTAAATACAGGTAGCTAATTGGATTTTTATGACATTGCTGTCTCAGTCACGGATTGTTTATTATCAATTATGATTATCAATAGATATACTTTCTGTATTGTCAGTTAGTGTATTTATAAACTCATAACAATGTGCCTTACTACAATTGATAATAACAATGCTGTGTACCTGCTAATATCGATGTTATAAAAAACCAATTAGCTACCTGTATTTGTAATCCCTTGTGTATTATACCTGTATATTAATTCAAAAATTTGAAACTTTAAATGATTATATCTAATAAACGAATAAAGTTATATTAAAAATTCAAATGCCATTTACTATTAAATTAAAAACTCAAACATTTTATTAAATTAAAAATATGTGTTACCATTTAAAAAACAAAGTTGACTCCCTTCCAAGGCATAAGGGCTGAACTTAAAAAGTATTACATAGTTAAAAATTCAAGAATAATATGTAACTAAAGATCATAAAAAAAAAAAATGTTTAAATTATTATTATTCTGCAAGTAATTGAGTGGGTTATGATAAAAAAATCACTCTGTATACATGTTTAAAATAAGCGAGACTATAAACACAGGTTGCTAAGTTGTAAAGTTTTATAAACTTTATGCTACTTTTAGTAATATGTCCGGTATTACCAATTGTTACGTTTTACTTTGCCCAAGATTTAAAGAAAATTCTGTTTGGTATCATGCTTTACGCAAATATTGACTTGGGTTTAACGAAATAAATTTATATTGCAAAATTTACTTGTTGTATTATTTATTTTGACAGATTGTGAATAATAAAACAAAGAAAAATAATATATTTATAGAATAATTTTTTTAGTAGTTACTCATTAAGTATTTAATGTTATAAGATATTGGATTATGGCGAGTTCTTGAAAGTGATTCTTTTTAACTCAAATGGACAAAACAATATAAAAAATATTAAAAATATAACACAAATTCGCGTTACATATAATTTGGTTAGTAATTTATTTTTAAAGCTTTTAATATATTAATAGATTATTTTTTTGTTTAAAAAAATTACAAATACAAATAATTTTTCAATGTTATATTTAAATAGTATTAAATATCAGAATTGATGACGGTTCTTAACATTGTTAACTAAACAAAATTATATTTATATAACTTATTGATATATTTTTAAAATTAAATTGTAGCAAGTGTGCAGGTAAATTTTTTAATTAATAACTCGTTGATATTGAGCCTTACTATGTATTGAATGCTAAGTAGATAAATAATCCATTTAATCCACAATAAATTTAATAATTCTGCCGTTTTAGCTTTATATAAGATAGTTAATTTTTCTGAAACCCAATTCTTCATAACAAAATTTGTAAACGTTTTCACAAAAATTTTCTAAATTATCACATGCAATTAGATAAATTTCTGTTGTCTGTATATTAGGATTATGTATTGTATTTGTTGAATTTCTGAAACTTATTATTAAATTTGTTTCATCATAAAAAGGGTTTTTCATACAACAACGGGTTTTAATGTTTTTATATTCGCTATATAAATTTTCACAAAACTCACAACGAAATTTTATAAATAAGTCCAGTTGTTTGTCAACGTCGACTTTTTTCATATCAAGATGATCGAAGTTATTAAATTGTGAAAACTCTTTTTTCTGAAATAAATTGAGAACATCTTCAACCAATTTTAATATATACAATAAATTCGAATGAGAGTTGTAACTAAAATTCCATATTGATAATTTATTTAAAGTATTTATAGCTGAATGTAATCCTTCAAACATTATTTTAGATTTGTTGAATGAGTTAAAAAATTGAATCAAACAATTGTGCAAAACAGATTTTTTACCTTTTTTACAAATAGACAATATAGTAGAGAATAATGTATAGAAGTTTTTCAGTATTTCTGTATACCTGCATCTTAATAATTGTGTTACATGTTCTTTTTTTATTTGAAAATTTATGCTATTAATTGGGTCTTTTATTATACTTTCTACGTTGAATTTTTTGTTATTATAAATTATATTTATGTGATCCATTGTTTCCCAACCTTTTTCCCGAAGAATAATATTGAGAGCTTTAATTCCGTAATTTAGATTTATAAATGGTTCTATTTGCGGTATGAAACTATATTAATAAAAAATATTGTGAATATTTCGTAAATATATAGATGAAATAAAATAAAATATTGTCAATAAAAATTGTTTTATTTTCATTTAGATTAATATTGCAACGTTTATTGTCTCAGCACTGAAAGAAATTGGCCAAACTGTCAAAAATGTCACCAACATCAAGTATTAGCTAACAAAAATTCCTTTGCCCCTCTTTTTTGTCGATATAGACCCCAATGGGAGTGATAGTAACATTTTTAATATTTCTTCCCTCCTACATACAAAGATCAAAGTTGAAGAACCCTACAAAAGACGACAGTTTCCTCAATATCAGAACGGACAAGCCTATGGCCTACACCCGTACCTACTGTGCACAACTATCGAAATGTGTCAAATGTAAAGGTAACCATCCCACCCACGCCTGCAAAAAATCTCCAGATATATTGGCTAAATACGCACTCTGTGAAGGACCACATCCAGCCAACTATAAAGGATGTCAAATATATAAAAAAAACTAAGCAAACACAACACTCTAAGCAAGAAACCACACAACCACCGCCACTCAACCCACACTCCAATCCAGAGCACTGCCACCAACAACCAGCAACTAAAAACTCACCAAACCCATGTTTGTATGCAAATGTAACTGGGGGTAACCAATCCAACTCAATTCCTACTCCAACAAATAATAATGAAATCTCACTCCTTAAATTTCTTGATGAGTTTCTTTAACTCTAAACATCCCTATACACATCTATGTAGTATATTTTCCCCCACGCCATATTATCACTCTAGCTCAATTTAGTAACTATTTCCTAACACTTGAACAAAAATTTATAATAGGAGGCGCATCAATGCAAATAATACACACTGGGGCTGTCGTACAAATAACCCTTGGGGAAACACACTCAATCGCTTTACTCCAACCCAAAACTACAAAATCCTTACTCCTTCCTCATTTACCTACTGGCCACCTCATTTCCTTATCAGCAAGTGATAACTCACTTTGGAAAACTACAAGGAAAATCCTTCAATCCCAATCGCTTGTACCTCCTTTGTATAAAACTGACGATACTTGGGCCATCAATAATATAAAAAAAGCAAACTTATATTCTCACCACTTAATTTCTACCTTCCAACCACACTATTATATTCTATGTCCTACCTAAATTAAAAAGGTAAACCGTTTTCTACCCTGCTCTTTACCCATGACCTTACCATCTAATCACACACAACCAAGTGAAGTTGAACACACAGTACGAAAATCTGCTAAAAGAAACTCTCTTCTCCTGACTTCCATATATCTCTATGCTTAGGCTCTCCTACTTTTCCATTCTATGGAAATTTTCAGTGATCATCATGGTCCTCAAGCATGGTAAAGCCCCGGACTCCTCTGAATCTTATAGACCAATCAGTCTTCTTCCCTTATTCTTATTTTAAAACGTACTCTCTCTGCAATTGAATCCAATTTCCCAATCATTCAACTATTCTCCAGGTGCACCGCATATTTGACGAAATTTCCTACAATCTAGAGAAAAAGCTAGTATGCACAAGTGCATTTTTGGACATACTTTTGACAAAGTGTGACACGATGGTCTCTTTTTTAAACTAAAATCTTTTCTTATCCCATATTTTTAGCGATTTTTTTTTAGAAAATAGACAATTTACCGTACGATCAGGATCTTCCTTTTCTTAAATATCTCCAAATTGTACTGGTGTACCTCAAGGAGATGTTGCAGCACCTTTATTATTTAATCTTTTCACCTCGGATCAGCTCACTACACTATACACCACCACCGCCGACTTTGCTGACGATAATGCTCTCCTAGCCCTTCACGCCGACCCTGTAACTGACTCAAACTTTATCCAAAACCACCTTAATCTGTTATCATTTTTGTATAAAGAATGGGTAATAAAAATCTATCAACTGTACATTTACTCTAAAACAAACAGTCTACCCACATATCTACCTCAATAACATATCCCTATCAACCGCCCAAAAATTAAGATACCTAGGTCTACACATGGACCGCAGCCTTACCTAGGCTATTCATATCTATTCCAAATAATTCAATTGCGTTTTGTTCTCACATCACAACACCTAAATTTGAAAAATAAAATTCTTTTATACAAACAACTTCTTAAACCAACTTTGAAATATGGCTTCCAGCTATGGGGACCCACCAAATCATCTAACATCAATAAAATACAAACCTTCCAAAACAAATGCCTCCACCAAGAAACAAAAGGCCCATTTTACGTCTCCAATGACGTACAATCCATAATGATCTCTCCATCCTAACAGTCCAAAATACTACCCCAACATTATACAAGCTTTTACACTCTAAAAATTTAAACCATTAAAACCCTCTGATCTCTGATCTATCCGTCCACTCTATTCCTGGAGACCCCAGAAGACGCCTCAAGCGAAAGTGGTGCCGCGACCTATTGATTATTTATATACAAATTCACACATCATGAAGTACCAGCACTGGTTGGCCTCTTCTATCAAGTCTACTGTCTCTATATATTATTTCATTTATTTGCTTAATCACTTGTGCTTATTGTAATTCAATTTATTACAGATTGAAAGATTCCAAATAAAAGAAAAAAATGTAAATTTCTTATATTTACAAATATATATTAAGTTATTTATTTCCAAATATAAATTAGAAATTAAAATTAAGTGTAAAAATACTTACTTAGATGCTTTGGGATCCAGAAATTGTTCAAAGCCAAGATTTTTGTACCAAGTTTCTATGGTTTCGTTGTAAAATGAATTAAGCTTAATACATGTTAAATATACTAAGTAAGAATCATTTTCATTAGAGCATTCTTTAATTTCACTTATCAAATCAGTTTTTATAGAAGTGTCGATAATATTATTATTTTTAAAGAGATTGTTTACTTTTTTTAATGCTTCTGTATAAAATTGATTAAAATTATGAAATACACTTTCAGAGTCTTCAAGAATTGGTAAGCTATTGAGATCAAAATGGCTGGTTTTTGATATTTTCTGTAAGACATATTGTTGAAAAAAATCGATTTCGTCAATTATAGAATTTGGCACATTACGTCTTGTAAACATAAATCTTACATCGATGTAGCTTATAAATTTCATAGCATTATAGAGATTTTCAAACATAGTCTTAGAATTTTTCACTTCTTCTACAAGTGATGTTACACAACAATTAAAATTTTCCGATAAATTTCTATCACGAAATAGCTTACATATAGTGAGGATAAAATACGTGTAATCTAGAAAGTTTTTAAGTATTTCTGTGTACTTAAAATTGAGTATACTTATTGTATTAAAATAGTAATCTCTGAATAAATTCTCGAACATGTTCGATTGATTATTAACCTCCATATCAGTAATATAAATTGAATCTTTTTTTAGTTTGAGATTTAGTATTTGATTTGATCCAATTTGTGAACGAATGTGATTCACCACTTTTTTGATACAATTTTTATAATTCTCGCGATACTCTGAGTATTGTTCTGTTTCAAATGATTTCAACACGAAAACGACAAAAGTCATAAAAATTAAAGGAAAAATCTCCATTAAAAAAAATACTAATATTAAAAATTACTAGTTTAAAATTTAGGGAGATTTAAAATGAATACATGCGAATGTGTTCATTATTATTTTATATCATTTATTTTGTTAGTATTAAATGTGTATAAACAATATAAATCTTTTTTTGCGTCTGCTAAAATATAATTCAATGCTATACAGACTTTAATTTTTATTTTCCAAATAATTTTATATAGAATATGTTAATTATTTTGGATTACATTATTGTATTTAATGATGCATAATAATTACTGTTAAAAATAATTTAATTTAAATAATATAACAGTTTTGTATAAATATTTATTTGTATTTTAATACTGAATTATAACTAAAATGCTGTTTTACAATTTTGAAGTAATTATAAACACCCTGTTAATATTATTATTTGTTTTATGTATAAATTTATGAATTTCAATTAAGTATATTACAATATGTTTTTTCTATTTCATAGTTTGCAATAATTGTACTCAACATATTTTTAACTCTATAAATATTTAATTATTAATATTGTTATTAATGTAAAATATATAAAGGGTATTAAGCATTAATATCTTAGTTTTACTAAGTTTTTTTTTTTTTTTATGTCTGTTACCAAACTATCTCAGCTCTCACTGAACGGATTTCTTTCAACGATACGTCAAAAGATCACAAATCGTATCTAATCGAAGATATACCCTCAAAAATTGAAAAAATTTCCCTCGTTCCTCATAAATGAGGGAAGACATCCAAAAAATTTACAAATTTAAAAATCGCTAATTTTCGAAATTTTAAAAATTTATTTTTCTAAAAACTGCCATAACTTTTTCAAAAATGAATATATAAATATAATTTTTTTTTTATAGATGCTTGATGTTTTTACCTATCATTTGGTATATTTTTTTTATAAATCTGACCCTTTATCTGCCCACGGGGGAGAGATTTAAAATTACAACTTTTTCACAAAAAATTTACCTTTTCAACTTGATTTTTGAAAATGTTCCGGAAAGTCTGACACTTTTATATATATTTTAAATGAAAGCTAATGTAATACACTTAAATTTGAAAAAAAAAATTTGACCTCTGGATTTGTCTTCGTGGTGAAAATGGCTACCAAATGCTATTTTCGTGTGAAAATTCTCGATTTTATTTTTTACATTTTTAACTTTATAATGCTAAAACTTATTGAAAAGTGTATAGATCAACACAATTTTTTTATGAGAAATAATATTTTTTAATAATCCCTTTTTCATGCGACATAATTCATCTTAATTAGGATATTAATAATGAACTAGCAGATCATGTAGCTTTTGGAATAATCCACCAATTTTTTAAAACTAAACACTATCTAAAGATTTGCATCGAAGCGTTTTTTTTTTTGATAGTGATTTTAATCACTGTCAGATATCATTATGCTTGATCCATCTATGCCACGTCACCACTGTGCCGCGACCCCCCTGTGCTGGGTTTTTTTATAATTTGCAGATGAGCCATTGAATATTTACTATAGTACGTTTTAAAAATTATCTAACAAGAATTTAATTTAATATTAAATGTAAATTTCTTATATTTACAAATATATATTAAGTTATTTATTTCCAAATATAAATTAAAAATTAAAATTAAGTGTAGAAATACTTACTTAGATGTTTTGGGACCCCCCTGTGCTGGGTTTTTTTTTATTTTAAAATGCTATAACTTTTTAAAAAATGCATGACTCAATTGTATTCTTTAATGATAAATACTTTATATATACCTCTGTCATTCGTCTTACTTTTTTTTAAATTAGACCATTTCGCTTTATATAGGGGGAGTTCAAACCTTTGTCTCCCATAAGTTGAGAAAATTGACCTTGAAAAATTTTAATTAGCTTAAATAGGGCCATTTTACTTACGGTGAACAACTCGTGTTATGGTCCAATAGACAATACGTGGTTCTATAACACGTACGTACTCGGGATTGAATCCCATCGACTGATGAAATTAAAATATATAATGATTATATATATATATTATTACTCATCATCATCTCTTTATATATATATTCGTACTTGGTTAATAGAAAAAGTTATATTTATGAGCATAAATTATTGTTTTACTTTACTTTAATTTTTACTATTGAACAATCGATAATTTGTACCATCAAAATGTGCTTTGAATGCAAATAAAACTATATAGATACATAAAATTAAAAAAAAAATTAACAAATATTACATAAAATTAATAATTCAAAGAGAAAACAGTGAAAAAAATGCAAAACATTTTATTAATTTCAAAATGTGTTCTCGTTTAAAAAACAAGTTGACACCCTTAAAAGGCATATAAGATGATCTTAAAAAGTATTACATAGTTAATAATTCAAGAATAATGTGTAACTAAAAAAAACCAAAAAAATAAAAAGTTTAAATTATATTTATTCTTTATATAATTGAGTGGGTTATGATAAAAATCATAACTCTGTATACATATTAAATTTACATAACACACCATTGACCAATAACCTTCTATTTAGCAATTAGATAATATTGCCACAATAAAAAGAACAGTACTATGATATTTAGACACATATGTACTGTAAAAATAATAATAAATATATATTAATTTTTCTTCTTTTTCCCCGTCTTAATCTCAACTACTTGGGGGTTCGGCCATCCTCATCCTAAACTTCCACTAGACACGATCACCTACATCATCTACGTTCACATCATCCATCTCTTTTTTAGTCTTCCTCTACTCCTTCTTCCTTCATCATTCAATATATATTAATTTTTAAAAAGATAAAATGAATACAGTAACCCTAATAATAATTTACTGATTATTATAAAAAAAATATAGTTCACCATATTTAATGTATATGAATACATTAGTATTATATAAAAATTATCCAAGTAAAAAAAAAAAAAGAAGTTCAAAACATTACTTTTAATTGTAAAAAAAATATGGTACTCAGCCCTAGATGGGACTCATCCTAAGATAGAAATCTCGGGGCAGCAATATGGCCGACTCCTAAAAAAGTGTAAGAATATTTATTACTATGTTCTTACGACTTATATTACACACGTTTTATTTCTATTTACTTAATTCGTAATACATATTAATTAGCATAGAGGGAGATGCTGATGTGACAATTCTACTCGTCTGTAGCCCGGAACTACTGACGTCGAACTAACAAAGAGCAGTTGTGTTTGAGTGGTCGTTATAGACATAGTTTTCAATACTATTACTTTCGTCTTATTTATAACTTAACTTGTTTTATTCAACGAACCGTCTATCGCCAATTGTCATCATAGCCAACCAACTCCGTCTCGCTTGGATATACCTTCTAACCAACTGTACTAGGATTCAGGTCAGACGTATTGTACATTATATATAACTTATATTTACTGAACATCTAAAATATAACTTTACTTTATCGTTGACATAAAATAATAGTCTAACTTTATTTAATAATCTATTTACTGTAACTAAGGTACACGATTGCCTGTGTCTCCTTCAGGTAATTAAAATTCATTTAAGGAGATAGGGACGATACTTGGGTAGACGTCGAGTAGCTTCCGATTCTTGGTTTTGACCAAAATTCTCAAGTATTAAACTAGTCCCCAATAAAAGTTAACATACGTTTTTAGAAAAAACGGTCACTTACAATAATTTAGCTGCACGCACACAGCAAAAATACCACTACGATAGTTTATACAAAAGAGAGCGTTTTTTCGAAACACTAGGACGAGACACGCCGACGACGACGATGATTTAGGAGAGAGTATCGGCCTAATAATTTATTGAATATCAAAAAGATAATAGTATGAACAATATTAAAATCATATAGGTATTGTTAGTGGGGTGGCCAGTGTATGTGTCATATAGAGAATGATAATTAACATTATGGAAAATATTGTATGTATAGCATTCACCATGACAGCAATAGTACAGTTTTCAGATTAAAAAGCTGGATATAACTTACGCGCGCCCATTAGCTAAACAAAACATTAAATTTATCTATACCATTAAAATATTATTAATAGATATGAATAGTGTTACGTTACAATATTTTACACAATAAAAAAATCAATACTTAAAAATCAATTGACTACTTTATTATAATTATTTATAATATTTGTTCAGAAAAACATTTTTTTATTAAGCTATTTTTAATGTAAAACGAAATTCTTATATTATTTAATGGAAAAACATTTTTTTCTAATTTTAAATTTTGAATACTAAATTATAAATATATTTTCGAAAAAGCATTTGGATAACTATTTTTGTTAAATTAATAACAGCGTTTTAAACATCCATCTTAATTACGAAATTACTCACAAAGTTAATATGGCCGCATCAAATTTTCACTGCTATTACCAGATCTAAAATTTTTAAGTTAGGTTTTTTTCCTCGCCTTAATCTCACCCTTATCCTAAACTTCCACTTGACATAATTCCTACATCATCTACGCTCACATCAGCCGTCCTCATATAGCATTCAATAACATCCTTCTATCTCTTCTTCCTTCAACAATAATTTTTATAACAGTTCTTACAGCTTCCGATTTTTCTCTCCTCATAACATTACCAAACCATTTAAGTCTATTTTTTCTCAATTTATTCACAATTGATGCTACATTTATACTCCCTCTTATATGTTCGCTCATTAGCCTATCTTCTCTAGTCACTCCACTCATCCATCTAAGCATACTCATCTCTGCTACACTCATTCTCTGCTCTACTTTCTTATCGACCGCCCAACAATCTGAACGATACATTATAGCTGGCCTCATTACAGTCTTGTAGAATTTACCTTTCAGTCTCATTGGAATTCTTTTATCGCATAAGACGCCAGACGCTTTTCTCTGCTTCAACCATATGCACTTAATCCTATGTCTTACATCCTCGTCAATACAACCATCAGTTGTGCTCTGTTCTAACTGACCCTAAATGCGTAAAACTTTTTACCTCTCCAATTACGTTCTCGCCTATTGTCACTGATCTACTCATTTCACCTACCTCGTGTTCTCCATTGTCAAACTTGTACTCTATATACTTTGTCTTACTCCTACTTATTTTTAAACCCTTTTTTTCGAGAGCTGATTTCCACACCTCTAGCCTTTGATTAATTTCCTCCCTATTTTCTCATATTAACATTATATCGTCAGCAAACAACATGCATCAAAGCACCTCTCCTTGTATTTCTCTAGTAATTTCACCCATCACTATAGAAAATCAGTAAGGGCTTAAAGCAGAACCCTGGTGCACTCCAACTTTTACCCGAAAACCTTGTGTTACTCCTCCTACGATTTTTACCCTGGTACAAGTGCCATCATACATATCTTCTATTATATTAATGTACCTTTTCGGGACCCCTTTTCTCATTAATGCCCACTTTAAAACCCCTCTCGGTACTCTATCATACTCTTTCCCAATTCTATAAATACCATACACAGCTTTTTCTTCTTTTCCCTAAACTTTTCAATTAGTTGCCTCACACAAAATACTGACTCCATTGTTGACTTACTTGGCATAAATCCAAACTGGTTTTTAGATACCGATGTCTCATTTCTTATTCTCTTATCTTTTACCTTTTTCCAAATTTTCATACTATGACTCATAAACTTTATGCCACTATAAATTCCACACTCCTGTATGTCACCTTTACCTTTAAATATCTGCACCACAATACTATTCCTCCATTAATTTGGAATTTTCCCTTCTAATAAGATTTTATTTAAAAATTCCTTCAACCACCTTATGCCAACACCGCCTAATATTTTCCATACTTCTACTGGCACTTCACGTAGTCCTACTGCTTTATTATTTTTTATTGATCCCACACCTCTTTCTCATTAATTTAATTTACCAGTACCTCATTCCACGAGATATCCTCTAATGGCTCTTTTGGGTACTCCTCATTAAGTAATTTATTTAATTTTTTTAAATACTCTCTCTCTCTTACAATTGCAAGTCTATAGATTTCTTTCTCGCCAACAATAACTCTTATTCCCTTAATTTTATCCCGATTAGTTATTTGATTTTTAATTATAATATATGAACAAATAATAATTATAATAATTAAATTTAGTATTAAATTGATATTCAATAATTTAATATTGTAACTTTAACGGAGATATTATAAAAATAATAAAGTAGTTGTACTTTTCTTTACCTATAACGCTTATAAAAATTTAAAGGGCTTGATGAAATACTTTTCAATAAAAAATGTTTATTACTTATAACAAAATTATAAGTTTTATACACTGGACTACAAGGAACTTTCAACAGAAATAAAAATATATTTTTCTAAATCACCTTTTCGCGATGTTTTCAAATGTGCAATTAGACTTTTTCTATCACTTCTAAGTTTTAATATTAGTAATTGTTATTAAAAAATAAGTATTAACATATAAAAAAAAATAATTAAGAACAAAAAGAATTGTTTTAAATTAATATTGATTTTGATTATTAATATGTTAAAAATAAGGAAAATGACATATTTAACCTATATTTTTAATCGTTTAAAGTTGATTTTTGTGAATGTTTATAATAAAAAAAAATTTATTTATTTTACCATAACTTTTAGCTCAATTGGCAAGTTTGAAATTGACATCATTAAGTAGAAAATTTTATGAGAATTAAAAAAATTGTATCGTTAAGATGAATATGCAGTTAGGAAGTTTTATAATTACTAATTATAGTAAATTTATCAGAGTAGCTCAATATTTTTTTTATTTTTATCGTAATACATAACTTAAATAGAAGTAATAGTAATAATTTCCTAGTAACTTTTGGTGTTTAAAAAAATTCTGCAATTGAAATATTCAGAACTTAAATAATTTTAATGATTTACTTTAACTAAATGAACCAATCAAAAGAAAGTTGTTAAAAAAGTATTGAGATTAAAGTAAAATGTAACGTAAAAAGATTTACTCATTTGAAAGTATTATAAAATTTGATTATAATTGTAAAAATCCATTGTTAATTCAGGATAAACTAACAATTATTTTTTTTAGAAATGATTTATATAGCAACATGTTACCAAAAAATTTGGAATATTATAGTCTAGTAGTAGCACACACAAATAGAGTAAAAAAATTATTAAATTACAAAGTAAAATGATTTAATTTTGTATTTGAAACCTATCATATCAAATTATCATATCAAACTTCATTCGTCAATAAATACTTTGAAAACATTAGAAATTAATGATTTTAATCAGCTTTGCATCGAAGCTAAAACTTAAAATATAGTAAAATAATTTTAAAACGAATAAAAAATTTCTTATCGGAAGTGGCGACTACAGTGATGGGATCCTTGATCTTTATTGAAGTTATTAAATCTAAATGAGATAAAAATCAAAGCAATTGAAAATTTATTCTAACTTAAAAAGAATTATGAAAAAATGCAAAAAAATCAATGCCATACGCGGCTTGTAACCTTGTACCCCAGCGCTTAAAACACAAGTTTAACCGACTCGGCAACCGTACGTCGCTAACGGCGGTTGAAAAAATTGGCTATTTAAGCTAATTCAAATTTCAAAATTATTTTTCTTGACTTCAAAAAGAAAAAAAATTAAATAGGTTTAACTTTTTATGCTATATCAATTTTTTATTTATATAATCTGTACTCCCCTAGTCAGGTATTTTAAAATGAAATAAAATACAAAAACCAAAATTTTACACACAAAAATAGCATATTTTTGAATACGGTAATCATTTTTACCATGAAGACAAATCCAGAGGTCAAATTTTTTTTTCTTCAAATTAAATTATATAACATAAGCTTTAATTTAATATATATATATAAAAGTGTCAGTATTTCCGGAATAATTTCAACAATTAAATAATTTAATTATTGAAAATGCCCTAGTTTCAATACGCATGTTTAAAGTTTTGGCCCCACTTGTATAAAGGAGTATGATCCGATTTACAAAAAAAACATGTCAGATGAAAAGGGTATATAAGAATTTATTATAAAAAAATAATAATATTGATCCATACATTTTTATATACATTGTTATAACGATATAAATTTAATAATATAAAATCAAGAATTTTTTCACGGAAATTGTACGTTTTTCTTTACCTTTGATGTCCATTTTTACCACGAAGACAAGTCCATTTTAAAGGTTTGCACCCCCTCTGTATAAACGGAAATTGTCCGATTTAAAAAAAAGCATGACGAATAAAAGAGGTATATATAAAGTATTTATTATTAAAGAATAGAATTAATTCATGCATTTTTTAAAAAGTTATAGTAACATATTGTTAAAAAATGTAAAATATAATATCAAGAATTTTTTCACAAAAATAGCATATTTCTGCATACGGTAGTCATTTTCATCATGAAGACAAGTCCAGAGGTCAAATTTTTTTTTTTCAAATTAAAGTATATTACATTAGCTTTAATTTAATGTATATATAAAAGTGTCTGGAACATTTTCAAAAGTTAAGTTGATAAAGTTAATTTTTTATAAAAAAGTTACCATTTTGAAACCCTTCCTGTGGGCTTGTAAAGGGTCAAATGTTCACAAAAATATATAAAATGATAGGTGAATACATAAGGTATCTATAAAAAAAATTATATTGATTTGTTTATTTTTGAAAAAGTTATAGCAATTTTAAGAAAAAAAATTTTGAAAATTAGCAATTTTTAAATTTGTAATTTTTTGGGGGATTTCCCTCGTTTACGAAGAACGAGGGATTTTTTTTGAAATTTTGAGGGTAATGTCTTCGACTAGATACGATTTGTGATCTTTTGACATATTTTTTTACAAAATTGGTCCAGCGAGAGCTGAGATTAAGCGTATACAGACACAAAAAAAAAACACATCATAGTAAAATTAATACCTTTTCAGCTTCGCATAGAAGCTAAAAAATTCTTTAAAAGGATATACAATTCTACACTGTTAAAAAGTATTTGTTTACTTATTATGGCCACAGAAATTAGTATAAACCCTTATAGATACATTGAATAAATTTAAGTTGAATAATTTATATTAAACGATAAATGATTTAACTTTTATCACACGATTTCTCCTATAATAATAATTATACTGAAATAAAATTTACTGGCTTTTTTTAATAACATGTTATTATTGATAAATATGAATTAATAATTTTATTTTGGTCCATTTCGTGTAACGGAAATATTTATAATTTTATAGTTCTAATACAAGCGTATAGAGTTCACTAGTAGTATTTATATTTGTTGTCACTTCACGGTCATCATATCACTATCTACTGACACGCCTAGTAACTCATATGGTATGTATTGAAAATACTTTTTTCCTTATCGCCTCTATTTCTATGGTAAACATAAACTTTAACAATAAAAATTTATTTTATTACCTATTTAATTTTAATGATCTATTAATAAGGCCGGTTGTAAAGACAAAATTTTAAAAAACCACTGTACCTCTGACTGTAGGATTTCACTAACTTTCAAGTTTAAAATAACAAATTTTTTAACAAACTGTCACAATCAAAGGTTTAGTAAAATTTTATATTATCTATATCGAATTTCAATCCTTAAATTTTTTACGTTATATAGTAATTATAAAAAAAAAAAAATTATTAGAAAACCATGAGAAGCAAAGCTGAATTATATGTAGGATCTAGTATAGATGATTTGATGAAGATGTGTAAATTACCAGACCAAATGAAAAAATTAAATGCTAAACAGTAAGTAAAAGTCAAATTTATTATTATAACAAAACATAAATAGACGAACTCGATTTTTTTTTTACAGACTAACAGAAAAAGCAAATCTAATGTATAATCAGGCAATGTTTCTACATAAAGATAAGAATGACGAAGAAACTGTTTATATTTATTTAATGAAATATTGTGAAATAATGCAACTGCTGAAAGAACATAAAGAATACAAAAATGATCCTAAATTCCTTGAAATGATGTATAAATCAAATTTAAAGAAAGCACTTAAAATTTTGACACATCTAAGAAGTAGTCTTGTAGACAGGTGAACTAATCTATAAAATTTTATTTAAAAATTAATGTCACTTATAACAATTATTAAACTAAATTGATTTAAATTACAAACTTAATTATTTGTGGTAAAACTCTTAGGGAGTAATATTATATTGATGTTATCAATAAAATTTTTGTTCCTTTGTCACCCTCTACGCTGTATAATTACATTTTATCATTTTTTAGCGTCATCCTTTGGCTATTGATGCCCGAGCTTTACCTCGATTTAGCTCAAAATTTGCTCTGTAATTACTAATTCTTCAATTGATTACTCAAATCTGAAGTAGTCGTTTGCCAGAGCCCAGTTTTCGCACACTTCTTTCTTTTTGTATCAATTGACAATTTATCACTCGCTTAAACAAAATATTTATTAATAAAAGTTATTTTTGCGAATTTCGATACACCCTAATATATTTATATTTATACTTATAATACTGTGGGACTTATTAAAAAATACATTTAAGTACCATGTATGTATTTAATAATGAATTAACAATAATTTATGTAGTAGTTTATAGCTTAATCCATTTAATAATGTCACATCTCCAAGTACCATAAAATGTATTTAAAAAAAAAATTTTAGCTTATCTTAAAAGGTTAATTTTTTTTAAAATAATTTTATTGGGCTTTACTACTGCTCTTGACATGCTCTCAACAACAAAAAAGTATATAAAATATCCCATTTTATAATATAATATTGTTGTATGAAGTAAGCAATATATAGATAAATAATTATTAAATGTTTTTACTTATCATACAAATAAAAATAAAAAATGTATGTCAATGCTTTCTCTATGCACCAGATTCTAAATTATAGTGCCCTAGAAAAGTTGTCTCTTATAGTTACATCACTGTTAAGATCATTATTGAAAATGTGTTTTTTGCTCATAAACCAAATTTCAAGAAAATTTTTTTAAATAAATTTTATTAAGAATTTATACTACAGACCTAATAAATTAATTATTCAACTATGATTAGTAATTATATTTATTTAGGTATAAAGAGCTGGAAAATGATAAAAACAAAACAATAGTTAATGAAAAACAAAAAGTTAATTTAGTTGATGAAAAAAATTCAATTGATTTGGAAAGCACTATAAGCAATAAACAGTTACTATATTTATTAAGAAACACAGATGCTAAGAAAATTTTGCTCCTTGACACAAGACCTCCAGAAGTATTTCTACAAAATCAAATCACTTTATGTGACATTATAAATGTTCCAAAAGATGTTTTAACTCCAGAGTATGTATAATTGTTGTATTTTTTTCATTAACAAATATGAATTTTATTGAATTCATGATAAGTATTAATATCTATTTTGAATATATGGAAATCTATAATTTAATTAAATGTATAGTTTATGTTTAATTATGTATAGTTTGTATAGTTTAATTATGTCAATTAGTAATGATCCAATCCCCTATTATTGAAAACTATCTTATGTCAATAAATCTTAATTTTTTTTAACTTAAAAAAATTACTTTGTTGAAGTGTTAGATTATGCAGTCGTGTATTATAAGATTTGTTCTAGTGGTGATTTTTATAAGATACCTTGTATTTAAGTCTACCTAACAATAATTTAATTCAAATTTCTTATAATGTTTATCTATAATTATTATTATTTTTTTTTTTTGCTAAAATATATTAATATATTTAAATTTTTATATTTTATAGCTTAACAGCTGATTCTTTAAAAAATAAACTATTGGATATTTATAAACAGAAATGGAATAATAGACATCAATACAATTATGTTGTTATTCTTGACCAAGGCACTGAAGATATAGAAAATGACCATAGATTAATCAATCTTAGATCTGCATTACTTAAATGGGATCCAAGTAGAGACAATAGCAAAAAATTAAAATTTCTAAAAGGTGGCTATGAAGATTTTATTCATTTATGTCCTTGGGAAACTACTCAAAAAATAACTGAACTTAATAACTTAGAAACAATATCTGATACTGAAGAAGATTCTGTTTTTTACAATAACTCAAGTGAAAGTAAAATATTAATAATTATAATAATAAATAATAATTATTTTAAATATAAAATTATCATGTTTTTTTAGATCAATATGTTTCTTATCCTTCATTAGACAACATTAAGCAAAATTTAACCAAACTTTATATAAATTCAGTAGATGAATCAGTAGATCAAATCAATTCCCCTATGGAATTCATAGATAGTTATAATAGTGAAGATGAAAATGAACCAATAGGGCAACCTTCATTTGATAGATCTACTAAAGTACTGTACCAAATTCTATTGCTTTTATTAATTAAATTTGTATACTAAATATAAAATTCTAAAACAGATATAATTTATTTGTTCTAAAGTTAACTGCCAAATTTGTAGTGTTATAGTTTGTATTAAAAATTAGTGAAACACTTGTTTTTATTATATTTTTGAACAAATTATAACAATTAATGTTTCTTTTTGGCTCAACAATATAATTTAATCATTTTTTATTAAATAATTAAATTATAGTTAATAAACTACACTTTTTAAAATAACACTAATTTATATTTTATTATTAGCCAATGAATAAACATAACCAATTTGTTACTCCTGAAATAAAACCTCTATACCATACACATGAAGAAAACAATCAAGTAAGTCATTTAAATTACTGTTTGACAGTTAAAAAAAAAGTTAAAATATTTCAGGTGTAGTATTTTTTAAATAAAATAAAAAAGTTATTCAGAATAAAGTAACTACCATATCTCAGATAATATTTTATTATAATATATAAGGTTTTTTTTTTTTACTTTTTAACTCATTCTGTTTGATTAACAGGATGGACTGGTTTGATTAATTATTCCAGGTCCCATTTTGATACAATATATTGTAGTATAATGTAACTATAGTTGATGATATAACATGCTTCTCAATGCTTTTTTTTATACATTTCAATAATACATAGTTATTTGAAAATGAAATTATAAATGCCAATATCAATTGCAGGTTTTTTTTAGTTATTCTAATATGGTTGTTTCAGTAGTCTAATATATAATATCTCTAGAAATTCTGTGAAATTTATTTTTTTGAAATTATATACCAGTTTTTCATGATAATTTGGGTTTAGAGTTAACATCTATTTTACAAATTAAAAAATAAAATTTATTCAAAGTTAAATGTATAATTTTATAATTAGATATAGTATATAATATATATTATCTCTAGAATAATAGTTTAATTTTGTCTTACAGTTACCAAATAACACAGATTATACTGAAAACAGAAATTTATCCGTTGATTTAAGTGATTCAGAAAATGAAGATTATCATGTAAAAGTATTATATAAAATTATTATTTATATTAAAATACTTATTATAATGTTTATATGAAAACAACAAATTAATTTAATTATCAATGTATTTCAATCATTTTTATTGATTTTTATTAATTTTGTTTTAAAGGAATTGATGCATTTAAAAATTCCTAGAATTGATCGTTCAACAAAACCATTAGATGAATTACAAATAATTTCTAATACAAAAATTATTGTAAGTAATAGAATATAAAAAATATCATAAAATTAATTAACTAATTATTTTAAAAAATTTAATTATTTTCAGGGTGGTGATGGCTTACGAGGATTACAAAATCTAGGAAATACATGCTATATGAATTGTATATTACAATGTTTAAGTAACACTGAAGATTTAACAAAATACTTTATTAACATTTATAACAATGTTGTAAATTTAAAAAGTAGAACTAAAGGTTTAGTTGCTAAAGAGTTTAAAAATGTTATTTTTAATTTATGGTCACAATCTAGTAGAAGTTTTCAATGTCAATTATTTAAGGTAAATATTTACTTTTTTAATTATTAATCAGTTAAAATCTAATTAATTAAATTTAACATAAATATATTTAAACAGTTTTATTGAATTTTATAAAATTGTTTATTGAAATTTTATTACATTATAAGAATTATAAATTATATTATATGAAAAATATAATTTTAAATGGTGGTCTTCTTGTTATTATAAGTCTGTCACTTTTATATATATCTTAAATTAAAGCTAATGTAATGTACTTTATTAGGAAAAAAAAATGTTGGACTTTATTTTGTCTTCACGGTGAAAATGGCTACCAAATGCTATTTTTGTGTGAAAATTCTCGATTTTATTTTTTACATTTTACATCAATACAATTTTTATGAGACATAATATTTATATCCCTCTTTTATTCGACATACTTTATCTTAATCAGGATATAAATAAAGAAATAGCAGATCATGTAGCTTTTGGTATAATCAACCAATTTTTTAAAACTAAACACTATCTAAAGATTTGCATCGAAGCGTTTTTTATGATAGTGATTTTAATCACTGTCAGATATCATTATACTTGGCCCAACTATGCCACGTCACCACTGTGCCGCGACCCCTCAGTGCTGGGTTTTTTTTTTATTTGACTTTCTAAAACAAGGTATTGAAAAATTGAATTAAGTTAAAAATATTATTTGAATTTTTCTAGGATACAATTGGTCAATTCAAAGATATGTTTAAACATTATGATCAACAAGACTCTCATGAATTTCTTACGATTTTATTGGATTGGCTTCATGATGATCTAAATCAGGTATATCATCATTATACTTTAAAAGCTCTACATAGCTCTTAAACTACAAAACTCATATAATTTTGACTAGCCTGTATAATACAGCCTACCTACATGTTTATTGATATAATGTAGTTTTTTTAACTATCTAAATTTTTAACTAAAATACTCCTCACAAAATTCTTACATATAAAAAATATAGTTTTGTTAGAAAAAAAGAATCTTGAAAATTAATTTCTAGTACATTATTGAACTGTTTACAAAATTTATAAAATTTTAACAAAATATTTTAATTTTATTTATTTTAGCCTGTATGTCCAAAATATTTACTACTTCATTGTTAAAATATCTCCCTTTAAATTCCAAATTATCATTGATGAAATGTCTAAAATATAACTTTTAATTGAAACTTCCAATAAAAATAATAGCAAGGGTAATAAAAAATATAGTTAATTTTTATAGTCTAGATATAAACTGAAATATGGTTGATAGTCTTCTCTAGTTTTCTGAAATACTGTTTAGTTAATTTACCAGTATTTATTAACATTAAATAATGCATTAGAATTTATTGATTCTATTAAGACAATTATTGGAATTTTGTCATTTGTATGCTCAACACACCTAGGCTATTTTTTTTTTTT